AAAAAAAAAAAAAGTAGCTAGCATGTTGAGGGTCATTAGAGGCATTGTTAGGGGAGAGAGCTGGAGGGAAGTAAGTCTTAGGAGAAGGTGATGTTGCTTCAAAGAAAAAATAAATTAAAACTGGCTAACTTTTTTTTATTCTGGGATTTAAATGTTCTGCATTTTTAAATAAATGAATGTCCTGTAAAGTTTCTCAAATTGGAGCTTCCACTCCCTCTTGGAAATGCTCATTCCTAAGCATTTATATGCCAGCATTTAATGTTGCATTTCTTATGCTCCTGCCTAAACTCACATAAACCTATCAATTTACCCTTGGCTTCATAATCTGTCCAATTTCCGGTGGTTTTGGTTTTTGTTTTGGTTGGGTTGTTTTGTTTGTTTGCTTTTTTAACTTGATTGATTTTTGTTTGTTTACTTGCCTGTAATAGATAGACAGCCTGCCTCATACAACCATAAAGAAATTCCTAACTCTTACAAAGATAAAATATATTTGCCAAACTAATTCTTGGACATAATCTAATGCTGAATATACACTGACATTTAACTATATCAATAAATATGATATCTAGGAAGGCCACACAATTGCTATAACCCCATTTCTTTAGCCTGAACTAATGTTAAAAAAAAAAAAAAGAAAATGAATTCCAGGGGAAAAGAGGACCTATATTTTATGTAAATAAAAAGAAAATGAACAAAAATTGTCCTATGGCTAGAATAGAATTGAGAGCTAGGGCCCAGATGTCACTGGAACAATGGTATAAAATAATTTAAGAACCCAATTCTCAATCATGTAAGATGCTAAGTAGCCTCACCATTCCAACAATTAGTGAATGACCACCAAGTGTAAGCCCTGGGAACTACAGAAGCAGGCAGCTTGACACAACATGACACATTCTGTGTGTGACAGAGGGAAGCTCAAAGTGAGTGCTTAGGGAGAGCACTAGGAGCTCTGGTAGCATAGTGCCTAAGGCACTTGACTGCTAACCAGAAGGCTGGCGGTTCAAACCCACCAGCCACTCCTCGGAAGGAAGTTTGGGCAATCCTACTTCCATAGTGATACTGCCTTGGAAACCCAAGGAGGGGTCGCTATGAGTCAGGGCCGACTCGACAGTAAATAACAACAACAACAGGGAGAGCACTAGGGAAGGAAGGCATTCTTTTACAAGAGTCAATTGAATCCTTAGACTAAGCTAGGTGGGAAAATTGGAACTCACTGAATGAGTGATCACCAGGACCACATTTAAGCCCTGTGAGGTGGCTGAATAAGCAGAATAACTTGAACTGTCACTTAAGCGTCTTCAATGTCTTAAAATAATGTATGAGATATTTGTTTGTTTCTGTTTGGTAGTCTATGTTTATACTTACTTATTCACTTGCTTATTGCTGGATCTTTTGCAGAATGCCCTTGCTAAAGCTACTGTGAAAGAACTTGCGACACTGCACAACACCAAGTACACATATGGCCCAGGAGCTACAACAATCTGTGAGTCTTGGCTTCAGAACTGTGCAAAGAAAACTCATGCCTAAGATGCTAACAAATGGTTGCCAGAGTTTCTCTTTTCATACAGTCTAAAATCTCTTTTTTAAATGGTTGTTGCCATGTGGCTTTTGCCAGTCTATGAATTTTTATGAAATATGTAATCAGATTTCTATTTTGAAAAGAAAGGGGAATAATATTTTTTCAACCCAGGGAAATATTTGCTCTTTGTAAGCATCTATTGAGTTCTTACTGCATGGCAAGTCTTCACTGGGTGTTAGAGGAGAAAGAACGGAAGGATGGAAGAAAAAAGAGAAGGAGGGAAGGGGGTTTCAGACTGTCTTCAAACACCCAACAGTAGGGAAGCCAGAAAAGTAAATCATCAATTGAATACAGGGTGCTAAGTGCTGTAACAGAAGAATGCACAAGGAAAGAAGATAACCAAGATTCATTCAACCCAGTCCGGTAATACCAGGGATGACTTCCCAGGAGTAATGGACAGCTTTATTTTGAAGGCCAATTGCAGGAAGAAAGCATAACACACCCATTGTTGTCAAGTCAATGCCAACTCTTAGCAACTCTATAGAACAGAGTAGAAGAACTGCATCATAGGTTTTCCAAGGCTGTAAATCTGTACAGAAGCAGACTGCTACATCTTTCTACCACAGAGCAGCTGTGAGTTTGAACTACTGAGCTTTCAGTTAGCCACTGTGCCACAAGCTAAGAAAAGCATAGAAAAAGGATTTTTCTGGCTAAGCAGACAGCAGGTGCAAGGGCTACTTGAGAAGCATGCCATCTCTGAGGGTAGACTCAGTCCCACTGACCACTCATTCAGAGTTGTGTGAGGAACTGGCAAGAGACACAGCACCAGAGTTAGGAAGGGGCTAGACTTCAGAGCCTTGATACTGCAAAATATTTCATTGGGATGGCACTTTCCACAGGCCTTGTTTTAAATTTCTACTTATATTTTCTTTCACGTCACATGATTTCTTTTCCACTAAGATCTGAAAGGAATAGAAAAACAGGCAATCCCCAGGTTATCTAACACCTATGTACAAAAATACAGTTTCAAACCAACCCCTTTCTCCTAAAGCTATTAAAAATTACATACAAGGGTTCATAATAATAAATGGTCACTACTTTCTGATATACATCAAAATATAATTATTGTTGTTGTTGTTGTTAAGTGCCGTCAAGTCGTTTCCGACTTACTGCGACGCCATGCACAGCAGAACGAAACACTGCCCGACCCCGCGCGAGCCCCACAATCCCTGCTATACTTGAGCCCATCATTGCAGCCACCATGTCAATCCATCTCGTTGAAGGGCTCGCCCTCTTTTGTTGACCCTCCACCCTACCAAGCATGACATCCTTCTCCAGGGAATGGTCCCTTCTTACAACATGACCAAAATAGGTGAGATGAAGTCTGG